TTTTGTAAGCATAAATAAATCTAAATATCTATCTATCTATCTACGCGCGCGCACATACACACACACACACACACACACACACACAATGGAATACTACTCAGCAATCAAAAAGACAAACTTACATCATTCTCAGCTAGAAGGCTAAGTCAGAAGGAAAAACAACTAAGTTGAAGGAAAAAGAAAAATATCAGGTGGTATCATTTATAAGAGGAGCACAAAGAAACCATGCAAGGAATCAGGGGGAAAAAAGACAAAGCTAGCTGTCAAACTATAAATTGGAGACATTCATCAGGGGAGGGTAAAGGAAAGGGATCAAAATGGGAGGGAAGAGCACAAGAATCTATGGTAATGGTTCAGTGTCTTAATGGTAGAATTTTATGCATACAACTGAGAGGAGAAATCAAACACTGTACAAAAAAAAAAGATATAAAAATATACATATATAAAAAAATCTCTTCCCCCCTTCTCCACTTCCCAGTGAAACTTCAGATTTTGGCCTAGAGAATCTCTACAACACCTTTAGGCCTGTGATCAGTAAAGTGTGTTCTAACAACACCTGGGAGAGGGCCACATCCTTTCAGAGGATACATTAAGTCCAACTATTTTGACAACAACGCTAAGATACTGTCTTTTTTCCCCATATTAACGGATGATATAATGGCAGAGGTGAGTAAAAAACATAGGTGGTATGGTATTCTTCACCATCATTTTCACCTAACAATGTCTTTGATAGGAGCCTCCCTTGTGGCCAACGGGGTAAATCTCAGTGCTATCATCATTAGAGCCTGAATTTGATCCCCAGCCAGGGAACTAACCCATACATAATGCAGCAGACCTCTCCTGTATTGCCCACTGTTGCCATTAACAGTGTATTTCAGCAAATCAGAATGTTCTGCTCTCCACTCTGTCTCTGGTGTATCCTCTCACTCTTGCCCATCTGGCCTACACCCCAGTTCTATGCAAAAATAAAAATTGAAAAAAAAAAAAAGTCCTTGATAAAGCAATATAAATTAACATGACACAATGGCTGTCTCAAGGTAAAGTACTAATGAATTATAAGCTAAAGTAGCTACTTTTTTAAAATAGAAAAGTTTTTTTATTGAAAGACCCATCAATAAAAATTATAGGCTTTCAGGTCTTGGCTGTCAGTCAAACATTTTCTCGACTATCAATCAAGTACGTTTATCATTTGAAGAGCAAAACTGATAGCATTTGTTGATAAAATTCAAGATACAGTAAAAATTATAAATATGAAAACCCTGCACCTGCCACTTTTGATAAGATTGGTAGCAATATTAACAACTTAATTAATGTATGACAAAATGTGTCACACTTAGAAAATCTACACAATTCTTTGAACTGATATCTGCTAGGTGGCCAAAGTATGTTATTAAATCACACATAAGTAAAAGACCCAAAGTTTAAGACAGATCAGTAGACCTTAATGAAAAGTGTAAAAAAACTCACTGGTGTTGAATTCAGAATCTATACTGTAATGAATCATGAAGGAATGACTACTTGTTAAGCTCTATAATTGTAGCAAAGAAAAATATCCATAATTATCTGAAAGGCTCTTAAAATATTCTTTCCCCTTCTAACTGCTTGTTTGTGTGAAGCTTCATTTTCTTTGCACATTTCAACCAAAGCAACATGACAGTAGATTGAATATGAAAGCAGGTATTTCTATTAAATAGAACTTATTTCTATTAAACCAACTGTTAATTTGTAAAATGCAAAATGTTCTAATTTTTTATTTTAACAAAAGTGATTTCGGGCTTTCTCTCGTGGCACAACAGGTTAAAGCACTGCATTATGAAGCTCTCCAAAGCCACTGTGACATGAGTTCAATTCCCAGCCAGGGAGCTGACCCACAGGGCATGGCAGACCTCTTCTTACCCGCTTGCTGCTCCCCTCAGTGTACTTTGTCAATCTGCCTGTTCTGTTCCCTACTCTGTCTCTGGTGAATCCTCTTGCCC